AAGACCTCCAATGAGATGGACTGGCACAGTGGTGGCTGCAAGGGGCTCAAATGTAGCAACAATTGTGAGGTTGGCGCAGGCCAGGGCTGCATTTTGTTCTGTTTTGCTTAGGGTCACTATGAGTCAGCCCCTACTCAATGGCCCCTAACAACAACAGCGAACATATAATAGACTCATGCACATAGCCTGATAATTTAGTTGCAGTGATATATGGTAAATATCACTTGTATTTAATACTGTAAACAGAATTCAGTCCTAGAAGTAAATACTATAAGTGAGTCCAGTTATTTTTTCTATTCATCATTACTATGAAATATGTTGATATATCAAGATTTTCTTGTAGTTCTGAGGCAGATTTGGGGGATTTTAATGTCCTATTTTACCCTGATAAACACATACAAAGAAAATTATGCAGTTTCCTGCCACTATAATAAAGGTGGTCTTGGTATATCAGGCAAAATACATGCCACATAGGCTTTCCTCTTTTCCAACAACTGTTTCACCTTTTCCAACATCTCAAGGTATTTTGAATGCCTTAACCAAACAGAATAATTAAATGTGAAATCTACATCTTAAATCACATTTCCAATCACAATAAAGGTCTTTGTTTTCCTCTGTGACCTTTCAATTATTTTATTGCAATAAAATCAACTTCTTCATTAAGCTTATATATTACCCCATAAAAGAAGTTTTAGGGAGTGCAGTGACTGTGTATGATAAGCACTGGACTGTGAACTATAAGATTGGCAGTTCTAGCTCACCAGCTGCTCCTCAGAAGAAAGATAAGGCTTTCTGTTCCTGAAAAGATGTACAGCTTTGGAAACCCTATACAGGGTTGCTATGCCTGGGATCGGACTGGATGATACTTAATAACAACAACAAAATAAAGGTTAGGAAACAACTTGCGAAATATTGGCAAATTGGTGGGACATTCCCCAAATGTGGTCATTTGGATTTTTTTTGTCGTTTGTTTGTTTTAAGGAATACTCTAATAAGACAACAACAATACATCCTTTGAAAGGAGCCGTGTTGGCATAGTGGGTTAAGCATGGGACTGCTAACCACAAGGTCTGTGGTTCAAACCCAGCAACTTCTCTATGGAAAACAGATGAGGCTTTCTATTCCCCTGTGTGGGCTATAGGATAAGTACTAGACCACAGGGTTGGTTTGAACTGCAAGGTCAGTGGTTCAGACTCACCAGCAGCAACTTGGAAACTCTATATGGGGTCTATCTATATAAGCTGGAATTGACTTGACAGCACTTAACAACAAAGATTTCTAGCGTTGGAAACCCTGTGAAGCAGTTCTACTGTGTTCTACAAGGACGCTATTAGTTGGAATCAAGTCCACAGCATCAGGTAAAAATACTAGCAAAAGACAGTACATTAAAATTTTTATTAACAATATTTAAAACCAGGAGATGGTTCTTCGAATATACTCTTTTGGAGATGCTGAATTTGTTATAAACCTTTGTTTTTAAATACTGTATGACATCAGTAAATGCTGGGTATAATAGCATTATTATTTTGGTTCAGGAAAATTTACTTTATGCCAAGATTATTAATTTGAGTATTGGTTTATATTTGATTGAAGATTACCTGAATACAAAACTCCCTTACTAATGAATAATTTTTGTGTTCATATAGCAGTTTTTGGAGTCCTGGTGTGGTGCTGTGGGTTAATGTGCTGGACTGCATAGGTTTGAATCACAAGGTAGGTGGTTCAAGCTCACCAGCTGCTTGTTAGAAACCCTACACAGAGCCGCTAAAGTCGGAACAGACTCAATAGCACTTAACAACAGCAACAACATAACAGTTTTTATGTGTTTAGTCTCAATGGAAATAAAATATTGGCAATGCTATCTCACTCAAATAGGCATTTCAGATCAAAAATCTTGCTGACCAGAATAGAAAAACAGCCCAAACCCCCAAACCTACTGCCATTGACTCAGTTCTGATTCTTAGTAACCCTACAGGCAGAGAGAACTGCTCAAGAGGGTTTTCAAGTCGTAACACAAGCAGACAGCCACATATTTCTTCCTGAAGCAGCTGGCAGGTTCAAAAACTGGCAACCTGTCAGTCAGCAGTTGGCAGCTTTACCCACTGCACTGGTGGTGGTAGTATGCCGTGGAGTTGGTTCCGACCCATAGCGACCCTGTATAGGGTATTTGAGGCTGTAAATCTTTTCGGGAGCAGAAAGCCTCATCTTTCTCCCAATGAACAGCTAGTAGTTTAGAAACTTCTGACCTTGAGGTTAGCAGCCCAATTTGTAACCACTATGCTACCAGAGCTGCTTAACCACGGAACTACCTGGACATGTAAAGACTGCAGAAATAAATACTACCCAGAGGTGGCGCTGTGGTTAAAGTACACCTGAATTTTGATTACAGTGAAGTATTTATTTCCTACCCCTCAGAAGAGAGACTGTTATCCATTACCTTTTGTATGTCTATAACCACAACATCAACAAATAAAGCTATCTGCTAATGTACTCCTATCATATCCATATATGTAAAGATTTTGCTCCACACATAATCAAAGACAAAATTGTTGTTGTTAAGTGCCGTCCAGTTGGTTCTGAATTATAGTGACCCTGTACAGGGTTTCCAAGGAGCTGCTAGTGAGCTGGAACCGCAGACCTTGTGGTTCACGTAGATCTTGCAGTCCAGCGCATTAACCCACAATGCCACACTAGGACTCCAGAGACAAAATACTACTCCCAAATGTAGATCACCTCAAATGTAGGCCCCTCCTAGTCTAGAGGTGTATATTAAAAGTTTCATCCAATATTCTTTCCTTCCTTCCATATAAACTACCTGGATCCTATGGATAATGTTAAGTTTTTCACATTTCACATTTAAACTATCATTTCACTGTAGTGTATGCACTTCAGGAAATAACTAAAGTACCACTATTATTGGAGTCCTGGTGTGGTGCTGTGGGTTAATGTGCCAGGCTGCAAAGTTGTTTGACCCAAAAGGCCAGCTCCTGGCAACCCTACACAGGGTCGCTATGGATCGGAATTGGCTCAATGGCACTTAAAAACAACACCAAACCACTATTATTACAGAGCTATGCATTCTATTTAAGAAAACAATTTTAAAAAGGGGGAAAAATACAAAAAACACTTGGTTTAATTCCCTCATTTTATAGAGAAAAATTAAGGTCCACAGAAGAAAATTTATGTACACATTACAAATCATAATTTGTAACTCACTAAATTCCTGTGTCATCTCAATTTGATTGTTATAAATTACTAACAAATTGAAACTAAACCAGAAAATTTAAATGTGTATATTAACTGTCTATGAGTTCCTTTCTTTATTTGGTTTAATTGAGTTTTCTTGACTTTCAAGAAACATTACATTTTTTTTTTTAAGTTGGCAGTTTTTAGTCATACCCATCTGAAGTTGTGTTCTGTACAGGACATTTTAATTGCTATTGTTGTTTTGATGATTTTTTTAATAAAAAAACTTTTCATACATGCAGTAAGTGAAATGATCATGAAGAGTGCAATGTTAAATTCCAATCAATAAAATTAAATAAACTCAAAAGCACTTAGCAACAACAATTTTAAGGTGCTAGGATCTGAGAACCCCTATACAGGGTTTCTATGAATCAGAACTGAGTCAAAGGCACACAACAAGAAGTGATACAAAGAAATGAGTATTTTAACTGGTATTGAAAATGTCCTATTTGATATTATAGTCAATGCATGTTCTTTCTTGTGCAGCTTTAATTTTGGTGGTTTCAAAGACAGAAATACTCTAAACAGATTCTAAAGTCATGGATGTTTAACATCTGCATTGTCAAGCCAGATACTCAAGCAGGTTCCTTTCTTCAATCTAGCTGTACAATGTGTAAAACAGTATGAAAACTTGTCCCACAAGGATAGTTTCACTTAATGATACTTAGTGGAAGGTTTTGTCTTTCATAATAACCTCTACCAGAAAAATCTCTTCGGAACTAACTAATAATAATCATACCTAATTGTAGCCTCAGATAGAAGATTTATTAAACCTATTTGGCAACGTAAATAAAGTTAAATGGCTAGGTATTCAAGCATCTAGGCTGAGCTTCTGCCCTGGAAAGAGACTCTCAGACTAGCACCCTAAAAGCATTCCTCAAAATTTGATTTATACTAGGAGTGACATTTCCTATTCTCCAGAGTCTGCACGATTGTGATTCTTATAATTACCTCCTTTGCTTTGGAGATCTTTGAGAAATTCGGCCTCTCATCCTCCGGTGGGTGAAATGGATGGAGGGGCAATTGCTTTGTTTCTGAAGTTTTCTTCAACTTTGAAAATAAGGGATGTGATCTGTTTATCACCAGCAATTGACAGGTATCTCTGAAATGCCTACTAAGCACTTAAGCTTATACCCAGGAAAGTGGGCCAAGTGAACAGGATTTCGGTAGTTATCGCTCTCTTTTTTAGGTTTTTACTCTAACAAAACTTTCATTAAGGTTCATAAATCTCGAAAGTCAAACCACCTCTTCTGCACGTCGTGTGTATGTGAGTGTGTGACAGAGCGAGCGAGCGAGCGAGCAAGACAGAGAGAGATCCACCACTCTAAAATTTCAGTAAGACTTTTCTGCCCAACGAGAAGGGAAAGATGTCAAGTTAAGTTTCCTAAGTGTTTCTTCTCCAAGCAAGGGAAGGGCAATTCCCGAGGGGACAGTAGTGGAGTCCCAAGATTCCCCAGTGCGCTGTAAGGGCAGGTGAGGGTGCTCTGTTCCTTATTGGGGCCGCGCAAAGCGGCTCCGGCGGGGTCCCGGGCGCCCCAGTCACTCCTTCCCACCAGATTCCGGCCCTGAATTTCTCTCTTCACCGCACGCTCCCCCCGCCTCGTTCCCTTCCCCGCCCCCTAGAGTCTCGTTTTAGTCATCCCTTTGTCCTTCCCCGGATTGGCAGGTTTTATTATTCCGCCTGAACAATCCGGCCGCCCAGTGGCTGAGGGTCGCTGACGTCGGCGGCAGAGCCGGGGAGTAGTTGGGATTCTGCTCTGTCAGTAACACATGTGTAAGATCCGCGGAGGGAGCGAGCGAGCCGGCTAAAGGCCAGCGCCGCCACCGCCTCCAAGCCCGGCAGCAGCAGCCCCGGCAGCGGCGCAGGCTGCAGCGTGTCGGGTCACGGCCGATCGCAGCTCCCCAACTCCTGGGCGCGTCCGGCTCCTGGCCTCCGTGCCCCCTCTACCGAATCTGTTGTTTCTGCGGCTGCTCCCCGACTGAAGGTGCAGGAAGCTCGGTAGAGCAGCCGCCGCTGCCAGACCGAGCAAGCGAGCGCGCGAGCGAGCGCGCGGGAGGGAGGAAGGCGGCGGAGGAGGAGGAGCGCGGACGGGGGCGGGGGCCGTCGGGCGGGGGAATATACAAAGTGAAGCCACATTGCCAAACTTGCAGCAGCGATTGCAGCAGTTGCTGCCGCTGCGCCGCGCTTGAAGCCGCGCCGCGCGGGCCGAGGGCTCTTGCAGCTGCTCGCGCGGAGGCGGAGGAGAAGGACGAGGACCGAGACTGACACTTCTGCTCCCTGCCGGCTGCCACTTACGCAGGGCCCCCAATCCAGCCTCAGAGCAACGCATTAAAAAAAAAAAAAAAAAAAAAAAAAAGCCCTTGGCCCCCTCCTCCCCTTTCCTGCTTCTGCGAGGCTCCCTCCCTCCCTCCAGCTCCGCCGGCCGAGGCGCCCCTTCCTTGGAAGACGAGCGGCTTCGCTCGCATTTCGCCGCCGCAGCCTCTCGCAATATTGCAATATAGGGGAAAAGCAGGTAAGGGGGCGACTGAGGAGCCGTGGGCAGGGAGCGTTGGTGTGGGGGAGAAGAGGGGACTGCTCTGGACTAGGGTTGTTTTCTTTGGCTTCCTTCCCTTGACCGTCCCAAATTGCAAGTAAACAATACGTCGGCTTAGATAATGCGCGAGTCTGAAAACTACCGAGGACGGCCTGCGAGCTAGCACGGAGGGCAGACCCGGGCCGCCAGCTTTGTAGCGGTTCCTGCTTACAAAAGGGTTCTCGGAGATGGGGCTGGTGGGGTGCTTGGAGGGGGTTGGAGATATTTCTAGTTCATAGGGTGCTCATTCGGAGGTGCCTAGATAAAGGCTTAAGTATGAAAAGTAGTGAAGTGGGGGATCTAGTCCTGACCCCCCACCCCCTTCTCTTAATAAACCCTGTATTTGAAACAGTGGCAGAAAGGATCCAAGTGAGCCGGATTCGGTATTGCTGAGTCTTTACAAAAATTCCTCTTGGCTTATAAGTCTTTTGTTCCAATCCAGGAGAAATCCGGTGAATCACCTAATTAAAATCAAGACATGAATTAAGCATCCATTTTTGTACTACAAATTGCCAGCACTACGTTTGTCCCTCCCTTGGTCTCCATTAAAAAACACCAGAGACGTTGTTAAAGGGGGGCAGATTTTTGCCTCTAGCTGTCAGTTCTGCTTTCTATTTCACTGACTATCCCAGGACCTAAATTGCTTGGCTATGTAATTACTAGAGTATAAGCCTATTTAACTTAAAAGCTTTCTTTTTTTTTTTTTCCAACTCTAAATGAAACTTGATGAGGGCCCGTCCTTAGTTATCAGGGGAGTCAGTTTCTGGTCAGTCCTCTTGATTCATCTCTTTTAGATTTAATCAGCATTAAGGTATTGCTTGTCCTTAAGAGCTTTAGCTAATGGGGTTACTGGATGCTTTTCTCAGTGTAATGTTTCCTTTAAAAAAAAAAAAAAAATATATATATATATATATATATATATATATACATATGTATTTACCTCTCACCAGAGATGATGGGGGCAGGGTACAGCTTGGAATCTCCTCCCTCCTTTCCTTTTAAAAAGGAATTCGGAGCGATTAAAACGTTGGGGGGAAAACAGTTTAAAGACCTAGGGCAGGAAATGCAGATTCATTTGGGTTAGGGCTGAAATTGTAACAAAAAGCAATTCCTCGAGTAAATGCATCAGATAAATCAATTTACATAAAGGTATGATGCATTCGGATAAATGCAATGCTAATGGGTTTTAGAGTGGTCCTGTTTCCAAAGTCTCAGGGTTTTGTTACAGCTTAATTGGTGCAGTTCTTATTCTGGTTTATTGTGCGGTCACTGGACACACGTTCCGGGACTCTTTCGGAGGAAATGTGTTTAAAATCGGCCTATTTAAGGAAACGGAGTCCTTGTTTCGTTCCCTTCCCCTCAGTATTTTTTTTTCTTTTCTTTTTTTAATTTGCAGCAGCCAAGTTGGGCCGTGGACAGGCAAAGTTCTCCTTCTCCTTTCTGAGGTATCAGCTGAATGTCTTGAGCAGATAGCCTGGAACCTCGGGGGGGCCTACACTCTTGGTTTACAGAGGACAAAGACAAAACTGGCTGCTTAATTGGCAGTAAATAACTTGATCTTTTTATAGAATAAGTGACTGGAGGAACACTAGGACTTTATTGGACTCTGGATTGGATGCAGCAAATTAATCGGTTTAGGCCAAGCTTTTAAATTGATTCTTATATTGTAACCCAGTTGCTTCTCTCGTGGCATTTATTAGGCAGAGTGGGGAATTTTTTAAAGCAGTTTTTGGTGACAGCAGGACTAGCTCGAATTTAACTTTGTACATTCCTTAATAGTGTCTTTTAGCATATTATCTGTATCCTCCCCCCCTTTTTTAGGGGGGGGGCGAGGAACAAAGCTTTAGCATTTAAATTGCTGATCAAGGGCAGATTAGGGAGACCAAAGTGGAGAGTGTTTGTATAGGAAGTTAACAGGCATCCTAAAGTTCAATGATCTATTATTCTTGCCTGTGTCCTGAAAACCCAGAGAAAACACTCATTGATCTTCAAAATGAAATGAGATTTGGAACAATAATGGGAGATGGCGGTCAGCACAATGGCATGTGAAAGGTGCTGTTTAAAATACGAAAAACCAGTTTCGCAACTTTACACACCGCACTCCCCTTCCCGCCCCTCGCCTCCCCTCCCACCACCACGCTCGCCGTCGCCCCTCAGCGGGTCCCTCCCTCCTCCCTTTCAGAAACCGAACTATTTCCAACTTGTGAACTGCAGCTGCACTTCCCAGAGCAGAGCTGGGGAGGGAACGGGGCTCCGGCGAGACCCGCGTGGTCGCCGCCTCCCCACTCCCCTTGGCTAAGGAGGAGCTGGGCGCGGCAGTGGGTGGTTTTGACCCTCATTTGCTGGGGGCGGGCGGCGGGGTAGAGGAGGAGGGGGCTGTGGGCGGGGGCTGGGAGGAGGCGCCTTGAGGGGTGGAGCGCGCTGCCAGAGCCTCGCTTTCGGAGTTTTGACAGTACCATAGCTGAAATTGTCAGCGGCGCAGAGCGCTGGAAAGTTGAGAGAAGCTCGTGGTCTCAGAACAAAGCTTGAGAAAAGTAAACAGGCGATTGCTGCCGGCAAGCCTCCCTCCTTCCCTCTACCCCTCACCCTCCTTCCAGTCCTAGCCCCGTTTATTCCTTAAAGCAGTTCAAGGTAGGATTGGGCTTGTTGGTCTCACTCCTGGTTATTACTAACTTTTACATTGCCCCTGTTTTGTCTCTCCCTGTCCCCTCCCTCCCTCCACAGACCATGGTGAATCCGGGCAGCAGCTCGCAACCGCCCCCGGTGACGGCTGGCTCCCTCTCCTGGAAGCGGTGCGCAGGCTGCGGGGGCAAGATTGCGGACCGTTTTCTGCTCTATGCCATGGACAGCTACTGGCACAGCCGGTGCCTCAAGTGCTCCTGCTGCCAGGCACAGCTGGGCGACATCGGCACGTCCTGTTACACCAAAAGCGGCATGATCCTTTGCAGAACTGACTACATTAGGTAAGACTTTGCTGTCTTTAACCCAAGATGGATGAGCAGAGCAATGACATAGGCCAAAGGTTCCCATGGGTTTAGGAGTGGGCGCCTATAATAATAAATTTCACCCTTAGCCTCCCAAACCTTTTGGTTTTTAAGGGGTTCAAAAAGCAGGTGTTAGCTTCCAGTTTTTAAAGGTAAATACCATACTAAGTTAAAAAAAAAAAAAAAACCAAAAACTGTTTGGTGGGACTAAAGGCTTGCTAAGGTGTGAAAGGTCTGGACCAAAATGTTCAGCCCTCAGACTCAATTTACAAAAGGTCCTTTGCCTACATAAACTTTAGAAGTGGGAGTTTAGATTATTTTCCTAAAGCATTGTAGGCACCCACAAAGAAACATGAGAGACAAAAGGTTGACTTAAAAATAAAAGTGTAGTTAGTGTGAAATGATTTGCCTATGGTGATGGCTAATTGTGATATTTACATAAGCACCTTTAAACTTTTTTGAGTGGAAAGCTATGACTCATTCTTTGTGCTCCTTGTGAAAAATGCTGATTACCCATCAGTTTAAAGACTTGGAATTTTTGTCAGGAAAGAAGAAAAACTTTTAAAAAAAGCAAAAATCGTGGTAACGTTTCTTCATACTTTTACTTCAAGGCTTGGAATGCTCAATGCTAGTGTGTGGTTTAACAGTGTAGAATGTGTAGTTTCTTCAACTGAGGAATGTTCAGGTTTTTGGTCTTTTTTTGGTTATTGTTTGTATCATTGCCCTTGTTGCCCAAAAGAGATTTTGAAAAAGGCTATAGAATTATACTAATCTTGGACTTTAAAGCAGTGTATAGGAACATTTGTATGTCCGTGTAAGCAGTCTTTTCCAACAAGTTTCAGCGCAATTAATAGAAAGAATTCAGGAGGTCAGGTGCCTATAGGATCTTTTCAGGTGAACTCAAGCTACTTAAACTCATTAATTTGAAAGGAGGCATTTGAAGGATTACACATTTAATTTGAGTAAATGGTTTGATAGACTGATGCACATGAATGCTTCTAGGAGGTGTTCTGTTTCAACATCCAGTAATTAAAAAAAAAAAACAAAAACCCACACACACCGATGTTACTAGAGAACTGCACACTTTTAAGAATTGCATTCTATTTAAATTTCTGCCTGAAGCCTTTTTCTTTATAGTGATTAGTTTTTAAAAAAATTGTTCTTCAGTGCTGGTGAGTCAATGGACTAGATATTCTGTTCAAAGTTTAGCTCCCGTTGTGATTCTACTGTGCTTCTGATACTGCAAGAGATTTCAATGCAGTTCAGAGCAGAGTATGGGTATGTTTACCCCAGTGATATCATTAGTGAAAAATGATGGAGTAAAATGGCATTTGGTTGTTCTGATTATGCAATCTATGTCCACTCTGCTAGCCTCGTCAATCTGCAAAGTAGAAGAAATGCAGGACAGGAGAGGGCATCTTATTTTTAAATTAAGATGGCAACGTTAATTCAACGTTAATTTCACTGAGTGTCTTTTTAGAAGTAAATGTTGGAAAATGAGGAGCATGGGTGTAATGTTTTCTGCTCCTTGAGAGCAACGCCATGGGCTTTGACAGTATTGTAATTAAATAGAGCAAAACTGGTTTGTAGTGGAAAAATGGACAGTGCTTCTCAGATTTCGTGAATGGTGCAGATTCCAAGTGTCTTCCAAAAATCTTCACTTCTGATTTCCCTCAGGACAAGTTTAGGCTAGTGGCTTCCTTGGACTCATCTTCATTCCCTTTTCTGTTCTCCTGGTCAAATATAAATGCCCATTTTATGTATTCCCGTTGTTTACTGGAGCAGTGGATTAATGGAGGATGTGTGCCTATCCTTGAGCATTAAGTAATCGAATCCACATCCTCAACTTTATTTTTGCTTCTGAATGTGGGAACCTGAACCAGGCTTGCTCTTGAACTGGATGCTGTGCTGAGAATTTTAGGATCAGATCCATGAGAGAGTGGATTTCGAACTCAGGACCAAATTTGTTGGCTCATACTTTGCTCAGGCTCACCTGCCATCTGAAAGCCTCTCCCCAGTTTAAAGATCTTTAGTCTGCATTCAGTGTTTCCTCCCTTTACTGACCCAGATTGAATGGGAAGGTATTTCCCAAATACCCTTCCCCAGTTTTCTTCCAAGTCTTCTTGTTAAGAGAAGCTTTCACTTCCCTAAGATGGGTCACTGAAGAGTGTAATTTGCTTGCTGGCCACCAGGTGAAGGGACCCCTCAGCTAGGCTGGGACCATAGGATGATTTATTTAGGGAATTGTAAACTATGAGATTTTGAAGGATTTATGTGTGTGTTTTAAACAACTAATATCTGGACTAAAAAGCTCCGGGAGAACTGGGAGAAGCCAGCTGGGGATAGGAGCCTTTACCCCAGCCCCCTAGCCCTCTGTGGCCAAGTGTCTATAGGGTAGAGCTGGACTTCTGCCTCCTCTCCCTCCAAGATTTCAGATAAAGCGGCTGCCTTGCTGCAGCGAATCCGCACAATTAAAAGCTTTAATTAGTGGCTCCTCCATTTTCTTAGTTCTGATGGGCTTTATCTAATGAGATCTGGTCTCTGGCTTAGATCTGCTCGGAATGACGTGTCTGCAATGAATGAGAGCTGCGTCGCAAACAAAACATTTAATTAACAAAATTGGCCTCTAAGAGAGGGAGGGAAAGGGCTAGGGTAGGGGGAATGGAGAGGAGGGGGAGGGCGGATCTTAAAGGGACCAACGCCTGCTAACCTCTTTCCCCCTTTACAAAAGTCAGAGAATCTTGAAACTGCCACCCTTCTTAACTACTCCCTACCGCCCAGCTCAACCCAAGCGTCACCAACTCCGTTTCATTTTCCTCGTACCCTCCTTCCTCCACCCCAACTTCGGGCCTGAAGACTGGTGCGGAAAGGCAGCCAGAGGAGGAAGTTAGGAGACCGACGGGTGGGGCTCCTAGCCCTGGGAGGACGAGGAAACTTGCCGGAAGCCCCGGGTGGCGACCCTTTCCAAGCTCTTCCTTGCAGCCCAGAGCTGGGGTCCCAAGCCACTTGAGGCCGAAGCCAAGGCACCGGCCTGCCAGCTTCTTGCCCGCTTGGGGACGAGCGCTGGGCCAGCGGGCCAAGCTTGCTTTTCCCCGGACTGCGCTCTGTCGTGTCGGTTCACGTGGCGCCCGCAGCCGCAGTGAGCTCGGTGCGGCTAGCGGTGGGGGCCAGGGGCCCGGGCTAGTGGTGGTTGGTGGTGGAGGGTGTGTTTGGGGAAGGGGGGTGGGGGGGATGGTAGTGTTAGGAATGGAGAAGCCGCCAGGCAGCGAGTTCATTTTCCCTGATAATCAACAGCAAGCTGCTATATTCAGAGAATGCTGTCCCTTTAATTGAACAGGCTAGGTAATTAAATGGCACTTTTCCAATAGGACGTGCTAGGTAAATCTAATAGTTGGTTATTTAATATCACTTTGAAGTCTGCCCACTCAAGCACAATGACAGCGCAGGAGCATGTGAACTATTAGTTAGGAGAAAAAAAAAAAAAAGAAAACCAGGATCTCAAAAATTAATTAAATCGCATGCAATTTAGGGGGAACGTTTATCTTGATTTGTCATAACAGAATTAATTCAAGGCCTCCAATTCACTTGGGGGCAGATCTGTTACTCTGAATTAACCAAGCGTAATTTGGCTGATTTTTTTTTTTTCTTCCCTCCCCTCTTTAATGCAGCAGTTGCAATTATGCACAGCCCC